CTACAGCACATGTTTCATCCTCGGTAAGAGACAGATATCACAAGGCGGGGAATCATATGACGCCTAGCTGAAATCTCCAGTGATGTAATTGGCAAAGTGTCAAATGTCCAGCAGCAGCTGTTCTAATGTCTCCAGTGGTTCCACTGCTTTTACTGGTTCTGCTCTGTTTCAGGGTTCCTGCTGGGTTTAGCTCTGCTGGTCTCTCTTACCGGAGGATTCGTGCAACGCTGCAGACGCCTTGTCTGCGCTTCATATCATCCAGAGAGAGAGCTGGTATAAACATACACAGATGTTGGTCCCTCTATAGCTGTCAGGACCCCACATTCACATATCCCCCAGTCCCTAACCCTGACCTAACTGAACCCCATAACCTGAACCTAAAATCAAGTCTGAACCCTCAAACAGCCCTTTGAAGGTGTGAGGACTGAACAGCATGTCCTCACAGCGCAGAAACGTCTTCACAACAGTGGTAATGAACTAAAACTTGTCCACGTAAACATAGAAAGACAAGCACACACACACACATACAGTTGTTTTACTCCTTGTAATTCAGTCCTTAGCCTCAAACCTAAACCTGACTCTAACTTGAACTTTAAACCCAGGTCTAAACCTTCATGTTGCTTTGAAGCAGTGCAGAAGCATCCTCAGTGATGTCAAACTCCAGTCGGTCCTCAGAAAGGCTTAGCACATACACATTACCAGCTTTCTACAAACATACTCATCTGCCATCAGAATATCGAAAGAATGAAAATATAAACACAAGCACATTCTACATGGAGTAGCTTGAACACTGCGTCTACACTGTCGGTTTGTTTTTGGGGGAGTCTCCAGGGGGGTTTCAGTGGAGACTGTCCTCAGTGAAAAGCCGGACCAACATGGAACCAGTCCAGTGTCTTCGTCCTCTTCTCAGTGGGTACTGAGCAGTTCATGTCAGCCTTTTGTCAAACCTTCACTTTCCCACACACACAGAAACCCCAGGCTACATCTGTAACATTTACACACCCTGGCGTCTGTTTTTGGAAAAGCTTTCTCTAGGGGAGGAAAGTGCTGTTCCAGTCTGCACAGTAATCGCTGAGAAAAAACCCCCCAGTATATCTGGTTTAATATGGATGTCCTCTACATCTGGTCTGACCACTCCATCATTCTCATCTGCAGCCGTTGTAGCTGGATTAGTCCCAGTGTAATTACAATAAAATGTACCGTTTCCACCAGGGAGTTTTGTTGGTCTGTCCGTCCCCATGTCTCCTTGTTACAAGTACTTGTGCATCACTCATTCATGAAGCATTTCACTTTGTCTCTCCCCCTGATCTGCACCTGGCTGAGCATTGTCAAACGTTAGAAACCAAACAGAGAAGGAGAAAAACCAGCTCTCACTCTCCTTGAGGGCTTTGGATGACAGCCAGCCACACAAACACAGTGCTCAGGTGACATGTAGCAGCACAAGAAGAAAAGGAAGCCAGAGGGCAGTTTTTCTACCTGTGAGTCCAGCCCCCTCCTGATCTAACAGCAAAGGTGTGTTTTCAGACTGGCAGGTGAGCAGAGACAGGCTGTTCTCAGACTTCTACCGAGCACAGAGGAAGAGCTGTTGCTGTGGGGGAAAGGCCACAGAGCCGGAGACATCTGAAGAATTTGCACAATGAAAATACAAGACGAGGAAGCAGGAGGCAGGTCTGAACTCGTCCACACTGAGACCTGAACCAGAGTGAACCCTGCCAAATCCTGTGTGTCTGAGAGCTCTCTGAGACCCGAACAGTCAGCACACAGTTCTGCTTACACTAAAAGGCCCCGAGGAAGACGGACGAGCACGATAAGTTAACCCCCAGGTTCATTAAAGATGCCACACTGACTCCTTCAGTCTTGTCTTCACCCTCCTGCTGCGTGCATCCGAGCCAAAGGAGATAAACAGCAGCCGTTAAATCACTGCAGGAGAAGACAAGGTCATTCAGAGTTGAAATGTGGCATTTCTGTTAGTGTCGTGTTAATGTGAGGAAGGTCACAGCCACCTCATGGCTCCACACTCCCCTGCAGTCAATTCACTGCAGTGAGCTGTGATGTCTTTACCTGTGGATCAACCTCCTGCCTTCATACATGCATTAAGAGGCCTCCCTGTACCAACATGGCAGCTATGTTGCAGTGAACAGTAGCTGCTCATGAGGACACTGCAGCTTTATATCTGTAGTATGCACTAGCCCTTCTTTCATTTCCAATGTGACAGAGCCTGAAGAGCACAACATGTGCAGCTGTTAAATACTGCAGTTCTGAGGTTCTGCACAGAAGCTGCAGCATCATCACAACTTCTTTACCCCAGCAAAGAGGAGATGTGAGGCTCCACACTGACTGTTGGAGGCTGAAGTGTAGCTGCTGCAGTCGACAGACAGAGTAGCTCTGTTCCCCCTTGCTCCATCAACCAGCAGCCTGTCTGTCATTACAACATGTCTCTTTATTTCTACACCACCTTTTACAGCTGACTTCCGCTCAACAGACTGGCTCAGTGTTATCTGCTGCTGTGTGAGCATCCTGTCACTGTCATAACAAACCCTGGCTGTAGCCCCTCTGACCTCTAGCATCTGTTACAGGTGTGTGCAGGGCGTCGTGTTGTGCTCAGAGGCTCATCAGCAGCAGCTATTCAGAGTCTGTAAGCTGAGAACACAAAAACCTCGGCTGATTGTCTGAAGAGCAAAGTGAAACATGAAACTGAGCGGGTCTATTGTTGTTGTTTGGTCAGGAGAGGATCCGGTTCCTCCGACAGCAGATCCTGGATCAGAGGAGGACAGTGGGGAAAGCCCTGAGGATGTCTGCAGCCAGGAATCGAGCTGATCGAGGAGGAGGAGGAAGAGGAAGTCGCCTTCAGGCTCTCCTGCTACGGTAGCAACATGTGGTTCATCTTTGAGGTTTTTCGTAGTCTTTACACATCAGGACTGGTGCAAAGAAACAACACGAGGCCAAAAACACACACTACCGTTTCACATCAAACACAATATGGATATGTGAGTACAGGCTGTGCACATCAAGGTACACTGACCTGGTGCTGACTGTGCTAAATAAAACCGGTCCCAGTGGCGGAGTGGTGTCCTGGCAGGTGGCCATACTGGGATTTCAACCACAAAATGATGAGCTGATGAAATAAGATGTCCTCTTACAGATGACACTAAACTACAGCAGTAAAATCCTGCCTCTGCTTTAATTTGTCTGCAGTAACACATTATAACACTCACACATTTCAGTGCACAACTTTTACTTGTGATGGAATGTTTTCATGCTGCACTGGTGCTGCTTCCTGACTCTGAACACTTCTTCCACCACAGGCTTGGACTCAGGGAACAAAAGTGCCTGTGCACTGTAAGCACCACACATGACACTATTGCACAGGAACACTAAAATCCACAGCAGGAGGGGACAGGAAGTAGAGCGGGTTGGGCTGTAATCACCTGCAGGAGCTAGCATGGCTAACAGCAGCCTCTCTGCTGCAGGGATTGCGTCACCTGCAGTTAGAAAACTACAACAGAAAAGCTTTACTTCCTGGTAAGAGGTCACAGCCCTTCTCTGATTGGCTGAGCAGTGGAGAGAGAATCTTTGACCTTTTACTGGTCAAAGTTCAGTCAGAGTGAAGATGAAATGTGTCTTGCCCCATTTGGGCGAGAGACGACTGGGACGTCAATATTGGTTTGATGCACCGGAGCCTGTGTTTATGTAGGTGCAGAGCAAATCCCTTGCACAGACCGCACAGATTACCTGTGCATACTCACCTCCAAGAAGTTATGAAAATCAACCGTGGAGCAAAAACATAGATTTGTTGCTGATGTGAGAGGGTTCACCAACAGAACCTCTGCTCTGATGTGTAAAGACTTGAACTCCAGTTTGATGGTAAAGACATTTTTTTGCAAAGCGCTGCAGATCATCATGCATCTATCTGTATCTGCCAGGTTACCTGGGGGAGCCTACCTATCTCACCTGCTGGGCTTGTCACCATCAGTCACCTGTCTGGCCTGTGGAGAGGTGGTGAGTTCAGCAGAGGACAACATGGTGGCCTGTGATGTCCCACAGTGCACAGGTAAACCCACTTTAAAAGGCATTAACACAGGGGTCTGTTTGGGGGGGGGGACATGGTGTGTCAGGTGAGTGGGAAGCAGCAACGCAGTGAGGTCAGAGCTGAGCTTTAAGGCCGGGGATGTGCATGCAGCCTTTGCTGTGATGGGTTAGGTTGGGGAGGGGTTAGTGCATTCTGTTAGTGGGTGTCATCACACAGGTAGCTGTACAAATGCATGTGCTGTGTACTGAGGGAGTGTCGTGCACCTCTTGTTGACTCAGTTGAAGTCTGACACACAGACTGTAACTGCAGCAGAGCACAGTCCTGAAGCCAACGCTCCTCTCTGGTCACTCTTCAGTGTTCACTTCTGCTGACTTTATCCACACAGACTGAGATGAGTCCGACCAGTTCGATGTGTCACCCAGCCGTCAGTCAGATGCAGTTTACTGAAGCTCTTTTGATTCTGGTCTTAGCACTCCAGCTGCAGCTGATGGACATGCTGCAGTTTCATCTGCACAGAGACATCACCATTTTTACAACTGTTCTGAAGCCATCTGTGCACTACAGGAACATCAGTCAGCTGGAGTTGGGTTGTTTCAACCAGCATCTTCCAACAGACCAGAGTGTCAGTCTGCTGATGCCACCATGTCCTTACTGTCTCACTGTGTACAGATTAAACAGAGGAGCTGAAGCTGTTTGACACTAATGGTGCTTGCAAATGTAAAACACATTGGGAAATGTATTGAATGACTTTTCTTCCTCCTGTACAGGATACTGGGGCATGTCGCTGTCCAGCTGTGGGACTCCGGATATTTGTGGTCACAGTCCAGCTTCTTGTTCTAACCAGCTTCAAACAGGCTGAAAACAACTTTTCACAGATGCATTTTAACTGCTCTGTCTGTTGTTTCTCTGTATTCATCTCATTTGGTGACTCCTGTAACAGTTTTCATTTCAGTGCCAAGTCCAGTTCGAGTTCTTTCCCCTCCAGTGACCAGATGTTCCAGTTCCCTGCATTTATGTGTCAGTTCTACATCCTCCGAGTAGATCTTGGGCCCTTTGTCTCTGGGAGTTTTTAACCAGCTGCTGTTGTCTTTTGTTTCCAGGCGTGTACTGTCGGCCGTGTTTCTACAGTTTAGGAAACACGTGCATTGTCTGTATGCGGCCCCTGACCTTCCAGGAAGACGGCGAGGAGGAGCTGTGAGTGACCGCTGCACAGGAACACAGACAAGGATCAGCTCTGTTACTGTGTTTGATTTTTACACTGAGATCGTGTAGTTAGTGTTTCAGCATCATGAGCTGTCGCAGATGGCTGCAGCTCCAGCCTGTGTCAGCCAGTTAATAGTGTGGACACCCAGTTACCCAGTGCTGGAGGGCGGCCACAGCTGAGGGTGAACCAGTCACCTCTGCCCACAACCAGCAGCAGTCCACTGCACAACACAGCTGGGATCATGTTGGGCTGGATAGTGATACTGAGCTCTCCATTCAGTTGCATTTCACTTCCACTGATCTTGATTTGATTCAATTCACTTTGACTCTTTTCATGACAGTTACAGTATTTTACATTGGTTAAAAACCAGTGTTTGGTATCCAGTAACACTGTTGTTTCCTTCAGTATAAAATTATACAAAGTTCACATTATGGACTAAATAAAAAATAAATACAGCTCCACACAGCAGCTGCTTCTTCGGTCCAGACGTCCACTTCAGTGATCAGTCTGAGCACAGACGGGACAGAAACCGATTAATCTGAAACATTTGTGTTGACATCAGCCTGATACCTGCAGACAGCTGCTAGCTGGCTCCCAACAGGAGCAGGCTGAACACAGTAGAACCTGCACAGTGTTCACTCGACTTTCACGGCTTCATGTCTCGTAGCCAGAGATAATATCTGTTCAACACAGCAAACCGAGCTCATATCAGTGTGAGAGGCTTTTATCAGTCTCTGCCGCTCTCTTTTACTGCACTACATGTATCTGATAACTTCAGTTCCTTTTCAGAATCAAATCAATCAAACCAAACACAGTAGAATCATCAGACTCTGTTGATCCCCGGTGGGAAATCCACCAGCTACCCAGCAGGATGTAAAGTACTTCACAGTATAAGTATATAAGGTCATTAACATCAGCTCCACCTTTACCAGCTGCAGCATTAAAGTGATGAACACAGTAATGTATCAGTCAGTAGGATCCAGTAGTATCAGAGACATTAATGTAAAATGGGCTGTTCTGCAACCAGGGTGTACCCTGCCTCTCGGCCACAGCTGGCTGGGATTGGCTCCAGCCCCCCATGACCCCGTTTGGGACTAAGCGGTATAGAAAATGGATGGATGGGCTGTTCTGCAGGATGAGTACTGGTACTTTGGATACTTCAGGTATATTTGGATGCGGATACTTTGGTACTTTTAGTGAGGTAATCTTTTACTTCTAACAGACTATGTTTCTTCCACCACTGAGTTGAACACATGAAAACAGAGCTGGGGTTTGGCCCAGACCCAGCAACAGCTCAGACAAGTCTGTTTCCACTTCAGCAGTGTTTCTAAACAGATGAACAGAATCACAATATTCTCCAGCAGGAAATGAAAATATCTCTGTGCCATCGATAACCTGGGCTTACTGTCACCACTAAGCGCAATGTGAGGCTCCAGTATCTCTTTTTGGCCTGCTGCGTTTCCTCTCAGCAGTGAGGCTTTTAATGGTGTCATGGAACAAGCAACACATGCACGAGGCCACAGACAGATGCCGTCTTCACGCTGTCCTCCAGTGATTTCACTCCCCAAACGGGCAACAGTTTCAAACCAAATGCTCTAATCACATCATTGGGTCGTGATTCAGTCACAGCCTGTTCATCCGCTACACTGTAAAATACTCTGTATCCCGCAAGTACACAAGTATCAACAACAAGGTATGATTAAAGCAGCAAAAGTACTCATTAGGCAGGAACAAGCTCCCTGTCATGTGGTGGATTTGGTTTAATGTCACTGCTGCAGTTTGTGAGGTGGAGCTAATGTTAATTGCTTTAAAAGCTTCATGTACTTAAAAAAAAAAGTAAAATAACAAGATTCAATAAAATGGAGTTAACATAAACAAAGAAGACCAGATAAAGCAGATAAGAGGCAAGGGCCAGTGAAACACGGTGGAGCTAATGTTAATTGCTTTAAAAACTTTGTGTACTTAAAAAAAAAAAGTTATAGATGCAGTAACACAGATGAAGAAACAGCATGAACGGTGGCTGGGCTACAGAGGTGTCAGCTCCTCCTCAGACTGTTCCAGTGGCTCAGAGCACAACAGCTGAACAGGTTTTGTCCCACAACTCAAAAAGACTCAAAGTACCAGAGGAGCTGAGAGTCCGGCCTGGTCTACAAACTGGACACATCAGACCAGCAGTTTGCTACCAGACCATGAACAGAAAAGAGAATTAATCTGAATCTGCAGAGTAGCTACAGATGAATGTAGTGGAGTACAAGAGTACCCTATTTCCCTCTGAAGTGTAAATGAGTACTATGTAGTGTGACTACAGTACAGCTCCTGACTGGCTCAGAGCTGCTGCAAAACCCACCCTGCTTGTTTTTCTCAGAGACTCCAGCGACGACGAACAGTTGAGTCTGTGGTCTGCAGCTCTGAACTCGAGCCACATCACCGACCCCCAAGCCAGGGGACTGATGAGGAGGAGGATCTTCATGGCAACACGGCGAAGGCCAACTGGACGTTCAGACAGTGGAGACAAAAGGAAGGATGGAGGCAACAGAAGAGAGTGCGACAGCAGTGGACACATCAGCGTTCACTCGGACTCTGAGCTCAGGTAAGACTCTGCATGACCAGGACTCTGATCTCCTGAAACTGTCTCTATGACTTGGTTTCTACGAGTCTTGAGGTGGACACCATGGTGGCCACCTGAACAAACTGAAAATGCTCAATTTTAGTGCTGAGCCTTGTGGCTGTGACTCTGTTGTGTTGCCAGGTTCACCAGGCACACCTGCAGTCACGTTTCCATTCAAAAATATATAAAACTTCAGTGAGGATAAATTGTAAAGTTCGTGCCCCTGTATGGTTGATTGAATGTTTGTTAGTAAACTACAAAGTGTTACCTTTTAAAGGAGACCAGAAACATAAATGTAACCCCCAGGATTCAAAATTATTAACCATTTTATTCTGTGTATGCCATTTTGTGCACAAAAAGGTGGGGTGCAGGCTAGAAAGCACACCAGACATGTTTCTCCCTCAGCAGAGTTTAGGGAGGTTTTACCTGCTGTACCTGAACCACAAAAAGCCTAAAAACCTTGGTTTTTCCCACACTTGCTGCTGTCAGTGAAGCAGACATGACCTACCAGGATGGTCCCAGGTCTGAGGAGTCCGACAGCGATGCCTCCTTACACTCCGCCACGTCACGGAACCAAGGCGGCTACCAAGACGAGTCTATCATCACAGTCGTGGTCCACAGACCAGGAAGTCCTCCAAACCTGCAGGATTCTCCAGGAGCCTCCAGGGCCCAGTCCCCAGGACCTGAAGCACATGTTATACTTTGTGGTTGAAGTTATTAAAGCATGAAATAAAAAAAGATGAAATCTTGTTTATTTATAGCAAACTGAGCTAGTACTCCCTGAGCTTTCAACCACACCTCACAGTCCTCCTCAGCTTGTGGAGTTTGCTTTGATCTTAAAGTTTGCAAGCAGGCCATGATTCAAGATTACTTCATGGGTCAAATGACAGGAACTAACTTTAGTACTGAGCAGACTGTGTGTGGTCCAGTCCTCCACCCTGCTGAAGTGTCCCTGAGCAAGGCACCATGTACTCTGGTGCCCCCAGACCAGATCAAACATTAGGAAATCCCCTGAAACTAATACTCAGTAAAAAAAAAAATGTAGTAAATACCTTATATTGTCAGAATGTTTGTTCTTTTCACAACTATTATCTGCAGTTCCGTGAGCTGCAACACATCATAGCTTATTGTCAAAACATTAAAGCTGCTCTGGGTCAGAGTTTAACATCACACAAGCGCTACAACCTGTACACTAGATGGGCAACGCGTCACCACTTTCTGCCACTCTGCGAAAGGGAAGCCAAAATATCATGAAGACGAGGAGCCATCCTGCTTTTGTGATGCATTTTGCAGCCAGATCCTGCACAGCAGAGACTAGGGGTGGAGCCACGGTATCAGGCCGCCACTCAAACCTGTCAAAAAATACACAGCTCTCACCTAAAATGCCTTTTAAATCATCAAACAGCTTCTTAAAAACAGACTTACCAGAAATTTTTGAGCTTTATGGCCTATTCTGCAACCAGCCACTAGGGGGCCTATGGTAGCTTCACTTGAGGGAGCTGTTAACGTTGTCCGTGATTATATACAGTTAATACAAACCCATAAAATTAAGAAAGTGATGTTAACAATGCTAGCCAGTCCGCGGAGACACATTGTTGGCCTGCACACAGAATCCAGATTGACCCTGGTGGACCTGAGAAAATGACAAAAATTACGGTACTAGAACTTCGCAGACATGTGGACGCAGGAAGTAATTTGCCCCTTTAGCAGTAAAGAGTGTTAGCATCCAATGCTAAATGTTACACTAATGCTAACAGTGCTAGGACAGGACAGATACAGTATGTACAGGCCAGCAGTGGCTAAGATAAGGGTTTGCAACTAATGAATGGATTTATTAATGGTTAAACAGCTTCCTAATGCTTTATAGATCTGTTATAGTAAATTTGAGGTAGTGGAAAATCCAGCATGCCACTTATCTTTATAAAATAACCCACAGTTTCAGCAAATAGCCTCGTGACAGCGGTTATTTTACAGCTGTCACTGGGAGGTTGTTACAGAACAGCAGAAATCCGGGTTTTCAACAGTGTATCAGGTTTGGGAAATCACATTTTAAACCCTTCACCACAGGCAAAATAAATAAACTTTTTAAATTAAAATACATTTTTCATTAAATCATTCATACTCAGTTTTTAGCAGAGAATATTTGTCTTTTGTCTTTGTGCAGGCAGGTAGGAAGTAAAACTCATTAACGTTTGCACTTTGTCCTCAGGGAGCTCTCAGGTGTCCTCCAGCAGCAGACTGGTTGTACTGGTCAGCTGCCAGTGTGTGACTGTGTTTGTTGGGAGTCTGGGTGTGGCTGCTCACAACCCAGGGCTGAGAAGCAACAAACTTTATAGAAACCTTAAACAAAAAAACAACAAAGTCTGAAACCTGCAGAGGAAAGCCTGGCAGCACAGTGACACACGTTATCAAACTCTGTATGTGTGTGCTCAGTGTGTGTAATCTGTGCGTGCGTGTGTGTGCGTAGTGGGAGGACTCCGCGACTGCAGGAAGCGCTGTGTGTTCGTGTGTGCGGATTCCCAGTCTCTGCTCCGTGTCTCTCTGTGCGTTTTCGGAGTTTATTCGGCGACCAAACCTGCGCAGATGGCGACCAAGGTAAGATGACTGACACTCAGCTGCGCACTGACCGATCACACGTCGATCATTGTGATCGGCTGAGAAATGCGGGGAGGAGGAGAGGAGTGTAGAAAAGAAGCGTCGGGTCTGATGCGCAAAACTTGAGAGTTTGTGCTGCTTTTTACCTGAAGATCGAATCTGATAAATACCGTTTACTAATCTCTTTATAATATGAAGCGGCAGAAAAGTAATCATCTTATCTTTGTCTCGGCATGAAGCCCACTAATACCCGGGCCGCAGTCAGGGTGTGGGCAGCACCGCTCAGTACGCGTTTAAACGTCAGACAATTCACCAGTGTTCAAAAAGTAACGCTCACAAACCAGGGGTGGGGTGGCAGGAAGCAGCAGCACCTGGTGCGACGGGCAAAGTCCAGCAACAGGCGGGATGCAAAACACCGGGAATAAAGAAGGCGGAAGGCTGCAGCTGCCACGGGACTAAGGAACAGGTGTGCAAGTGGGTGTGGGGGCAACCAGGTGACCGAGGAGGCGGGAAGGCCTGCGGTTATACTGCGGGCGGGTGTGACGGGGTCAACATGAACCGTGACACGTTCACTTCGGATCCTGCAGTAAAGGTTCCTTGTAAAACTATCTTGTAAGCCTTGATACAAGTAGTACGGAATTAGTAGCAGCTAAAAGTACATGAATTATCAACAGTAAAGATACCGGTTGTAACGTGACTGCTGCTCCAAGTGGAGCTGGGTTTAGCTTACTTCATATACAGTTAACTATTAGTGCGCTGGTTCCCAACCCAGGGCTCGGGCCCCCCCTGAGGGTCCCCAGATCAATGTGAGGGGTTTCCACATGGGGAGCTTTCACTGTGTCAATGTCTCATCACGTCTGATTGTCACTGAAGCATTGGATCATTTGAACAGTTACTGAAATGAAACGTGATCAGTTTGGAAGAGGAATGTGTTTTAAAATCAACAACAATGAGACTCCTACACACCGAGCTGATTTTTAAGTCACAAGACAAAAACATTTGGGGATAATTAAATTAGTCTTTTACAAAGCATCTAATAATGTTGTTCTAATGTTAAACCTTTTGTCTGAAAAGTTGGTGCTAACTGTGAGTCAGATAAACGTGTACAGTAAAGAGTTTCCCTCTGAAATGCAGTAAAGTAGTGTAAGTAGTAGTACCTGGTGTACTGCCCCTGTTTAACATCTCTTTGTCCTGAGATGTGTCGCTGTGTGTTTTTCCTTTTGTTTTATTCTGGACACTGTGCTGTTTGGCTGCAGGCAACTTCTTTTCTAACAGACGGTGGTTCTACTAACATGTAGGAGCAGCTGCTTTAGAAACCCAGAAGAAATGTCACATTTCTTCACAACAACATTAAAGTTCCAGAGATATTGTAATGTTTATATTTGCATATTAAAATACTATGATATAAACAACATATAGTCTAACATAGTTTTTTCCTCAAAAAAGTTCAGTGACCCTCTGTAACCTCAACATTTGTCCCTTGTGCACTCCAGGCCCTATGAATATGCAAATGTGCCCGCCCCCCTCCCCACACACACACACTTCCCCCACACAGACCAGTGAACTCGCTGTATCAGGATGAGATGCAACAGTTTCTGTTTGAGCCTCATTCACCCATTACATAGGAATACGGTATAAAAGAGGTATAGATCGAACATACAGATGTATTTACAGTTTGCCTGAGAGTTTGACAGTATGTCTTTATTTTTTCAGTTGGTCCAACCTGTAATCTGTCAGGGAGACTGGATTATCATCAGCAAGCTGTTTGCACGCAGTTTGATTACTTGTACTGTAGCGTTAGTGAGCCAAATGTAGAGTTTTAATCTGCTGTTGATACTCCAGCATGTTTACTACCATCCCATAACATTTGGTAGTATAACAGTATCTTTTTATTTTCTCACATGATCCAAAATGTAATCTAGTAAAGTTACCAGAGAACCAAGAGCATGTTGTTGTGGCCAACTGTTAATATTACATTCCAACAACAGTTACGTCTCTGCACATGTACTACACATCTCATACCATCTCATAATGTTAAACTCAGAGTGCCACCTCTGCCTGGGCCACGTGACCAGCTCGTTCTTTAATGACTGGTGAAAAACTGGAAGGTGTGTTAGTCAGCTCACAGCAGGTCAGCTGAACATGCCTGAGAGGTTTCAAAGAAATGAAACTACAACTGTAAATGACGCCCAGCCTGCACAGGGTTGTGTGCACATAAAGAGCTGGGAGAGATACTTTGAGTCTGAATTGAAGAAAATGTGTGATGTTCAACCATCCCGTCTCGTATCGTTCTGCTGGAAGCAGAACCTGGTTTTCTAACAGTGTGATGTGAGTGTGAGCAGCTGCTTTGGCGGGGTTCTGCTGGCGACTGTCTGAGCAGCTCCGCAGCCGCCGCCCTCTTTCACAACAGCAGTCAGTCTTCAGAGAGCAGCTCACTCTGATCTCATGCAGCTGTTTGAAACTCACTCTATCTTTGTTGTTCACCATCAGCCTAAGGCACAAGAAACCCCAGCAGCTGCTCGAGGCTCCTCATTCACCAGGGTCCATTCAATTTTTGTCATAATTTTATTATTTAAAGATAAACTCCCTGAGAGGACTGTGCAGATTCTGATTAATAACTAATAACTTAAAACTTTATTGTTCCCCGGTGGGAAATTCACCAGCTACCCAGCAGGATGTAAAGTACTTCACAGTATAAGTATATAAGGTCGTTAACATCAGCTCCACCTTTAGGAGCTACAGTATTAAAGTGATGAACACAGTAATGTATCAGTCAGTAGGATCCAGTAGTATCAGAGACATTAATGTGACATGGGCCGTTCTGTAGGATGAGTACTGGTACTGTTGGTACTTCATGTAGATTTGGATGCCATTACTTTTGTATTTTTACTTGAGTAACAATTTGAATGCAGGACTTTTACTTTAAACAGACTAGTTATACACTGTTGTGTTACTACTTTTACTGAAGTAAAAGATCTAAATACTCCTTCCGACACTGTTTATTCTAAATGGTTTCAAATGATAAAAAAAATAATTATGCGAATACCATCCATGGTTTTGTTCGGTTGAACACCAGCACTGCAGCGTCTGCACAGACTGATTCACCGATCACACTGATTCCTCAGATTCAAGCTGTAGAGAGTCTTTGATT